CCCATACGCTGGCTCCCTGGGGGAGCCAGGCACCCCCAGCCACTGCAAGGTACCTGCGCTCGGAAGGTGGGCGGGGCCTGCTCCCCTTTCCTCGTGAAATCCTTGTATCCAAACTCCGGGTCCTCCACGAAGCACAGGACGTCAGGCGGCAGCACGTGCTCAGCGATATCCACTGGACGGAAACCGGGGAGACGTTAGCGCCGTGCCAAAGAGCCACTCAAGGAAACCCGGAGCCACCGCCCCACCTCACTCCTGAGCCGCGAGCCACCGGCACAGCCCTGCGCAGAGCAAACCCGGAGGTGCAATTTAGGGACGTAAGTGACCAGCCAACTAGTCCATCGCCTGGGAGAACCCAGGAAGCAGGAACCATGCTGGGAGGGCTGGCGTAAAAGCTGGTTCCCTCCAGCACTGTCTCTGTGGGGAGCAGGGAGGGTAACGGGGACCGGGCGGGAGCCAGGAATCAGCTGCCCCAGCTCACGCCGGGTCCCCCCCGCTGCGCTTCAGCCGTTTAAATGTATTAAGAGCGTCCCGGCTATTAATGCATTTAAAAGGCAGAGTCGCAGCGGGGTTAGATCCCCGGGGCTGGGCGCTAACCCCGCTGTGGCTCCTCCTCTTATCGACTAGTCGATGAAAAATCTATTGATTAACCCAATTTAACATCCTAGTGCAATTCACTCCAACCACATTGTTCCCCAACTCCCTGGGAGAGAATTACACCCCACACCAGGAATCCGCAAGAGCTATCGTGGTGCCCAGGCCCCCTCCCCTGCTCAGGGAGCAGGCCAGTGAGAAGGGGGCCGCTGGTCGTCCCGCACAGGACTCCCTCCCTTCTCCCTGATGGCAGCTGTGCATCACGCAGCAGCAGAGAGGACTTGTCCTTCCTTCCCTCCGTCCGCGCCCAAGATGAGCCACCGCCAGACATCCACCAATGCAAATGAGCCACCAAAAGCCTTGGATCCCCGTTGGGACAAGCGCCTCTGCCTCCCGCCCTCCCCTCTTCACTAGTGTTCCCTGTAAGCTGAGTGCTCCTGGAGCACTGCTTGGGCAGCTACCCAGGTGAGATTTAAATGCTGACCAGCTGATCAGCCAAGCGCCCACAGCATGTGTGTCTACTGGTGGTGCACATCCCTTAGTGCATACAACAAAATTATTCCACACACGCAAGGAAAAAAAGAGAGAGGGAACTCTGCTCCTCACCCGAGGGGGCCACAAGCAAGCTCTCCGTCTTCTCCAGCTCGAAGCGGGTTTCCATCTCCTCCTGCGTGACCCCCTCCTCCTCCAGCTGGCACTCCTGTAGGAGCTTCATCCTCGCCATCAGCACCTCCACCTCCTGCATGGCGTCTTTGCCCTGGGCGGGGGAGAGCGAGAGCATGCAGGGTCAGCACCAATGGGGCTTTGGAGAGGGACGTGGCCAACTTCATTCCAAGCACAAAACTCCCCCTGCAGAGAACAGTCCTTGGAGGGCCCACATGCCCATTGTTCAGTGCGGTCGGCTGCTGGGGCTTTGTTCAACTAATGTGATGGGAAGTTGGCCCTGTGCCCAGGTACAAGGTGGGGGCCTGGGCCTCTCTTGGGGGCTAGATTCTGAGCAGCACCCCTAAGCAAGCCCTGCAGAAGGGGCAGGGCCCAAGGGAAGGGGTAAGTCTCCGCTCCCCCTCCCTGATTTGGCTCCAGGGCTTGGTGCCGGTCCCAGTGTCTTAGAGCAGCTCCGAGGCTGCTCTAATTTATGACTTGCCTCCCCAGGCTTTCAACGGGGAACCATCCCAAATAGCTGCAGCACAAAAGACTCCAGCCACTTCTCCAGCTGACCAGAAAGCCCCACCCAAGCCAGCCGAGGGGGGCCCGGTGGGGGGCAGCTCCTCCCCCGGA